CTGTACCTTGGACAATCCTGCTATCAATCCTGTAAAATTTTTCTTCATTATCTCAGACAGTGTGAGGCAGTTGCATCGATGTGAGCATGTTGTAGGTTTTCGAGGATATGATCCACATCTAACTGCACCTTAACCCCTTCCCCAACATGTTGTGCTAGACCTCCTAATTTGTTTCTGAGTACCTCCAGATCCATTGTGTTTAGGGTACCAATTGCCACACCCCCTGCTCCTAAGGCAGTCTCCATTAAGCCTCTCTTGGCCCTAGAATGGGAGTACTCTGAATATCCTGATTGCAGCCAACCTTTCAACATGTACACCTGATTCTTTATGAAGGCAGCACACCTTTTCCCATTTATCAACCCGAAAATCAGATAAAGTTATCCTCCATGTATACAACATAAATTGCGTTTCTGTTAGCACTGTCCAATGAGAAGAGAGCAAAGGGACTACTAGATCTGCTGCTTTCACTATAGGGGCCTTACAGGAGTCTGAACTAATTTTTGCCGGGACAAGAACATCCATCTCATTCGGTATTCGTACAACTGTCACACAGATCCTTCCTCTCCCTTTCCAGGTATACCAGTGTTTGGGGTCAATAACTGGGGTATTTATTCCTGGGAACATGTCATTACTCTTGACTTTTGTCATTTGCATAAATGTCCAACAGCCTTCATCGATTGCATTGCAGAATGGCCACACAAATGGGCCATCTAAATTTAAATCCAAAAATCATATCCCTGTGGGTCCTGCCAGTCTACAGTCATATGCACACCTCTCATTTCTTCATTCATTGGCCTTCCATTCATCCACTCATTCACTCTAGGCAGATCCACACCATTGCATAAGACATCCCACTTCCATGGGTTTGGACTGTTGAAGGCCAAGGACTGATTTGGGGGCCAATAAGCTGTGTCAATAAAATAATGACCCTCTATTTCTGGGACACAAGTCTCCCTCATTACTTGCAACACAAAGGCATGTATGGACAGTCTTGATTGTAAATCCATGGCCTCGTACTGTTTGTTTTTAGCATCAGTCCTAATTTTTAAGATTACAGTGTTTGTATATTTAGCAGAGAGAGTCATATTTGCCTTTTCATACCACACAGCTTGATGGGTGTTACTACAATTTAATTGCAATACCACCTTCTTCTTTGACAGGTAGTTAAGTGGATGTGTCTCCCTATTATAGGTGGGATGTTTAGTGATCAGGATCTCAAGTTTTCCATCAGCAGGATGAAAACACCGGTCTGCTAGTGACCCTTGTACAAGCTCAGGGAAATCATAATAGTACCTCTTATGTTCTCTCTTTTCTCCCAAATTGAAGGTGATGTAAACAATATACCACCCCTCATAGTTCTCTCCCTTGGGATCTACTGGATATAATTTGCTATTTTTGCATTCTACCTTCCAGGGGTCTGACACCTTCGTTGAGTTTGTTAAGGACACCACATGGGTCTCAGTATCAAGATCTACAAACATTCTCTTTGTAGGTTGACTGTCATTTGATCTTTCAGGAAAAATTCCTGGGATTAGGCAGTCTACATCCTTGGGGTCCCAATTCCCTTCACACAAGGCCATGTCTTCATCTAGGTGATATGTTACATACATTATGGTATCAGGGCTATCTTTCACCACTCCCTGTATTCGTACCCGCTCACCAGGACTAGTCTTAAAGAATGCAAGTTTGCAAAGCCTTTCGAGTATATGCCCCTCTGTAAAGTCCCCAGTGGATGTATGAAAGCTGTAAGGGTGAGGATCAAGGCCGGTGGTATGTTCTAGGAAGGACCCCTCAAAATCCATTCCTGCTATAGCATGGATGAGTATATACCCGTGAAAGTACATTGGGTATCTAGGGAGTAATTGTCCTTGTTTGCACTCTACCTTATGGATCTGAGTGTGACTCCACCCCTCAGGTTTTATTACCCATTTACCATACTCCTCAGGTGGAATCCAGGGTGCAATTTCTGCTCCACGGTAGAATGGGGATGGCTTCCCTGGGGCTGGGGTTTTTTGAAAAGTAGCAGGAACACCCCAGATGATTAAGCTTACAACCAGGGTAGACAGGCTCATTCCACTCGACTTTTTAAAACATTCTTTTGGACTTGTTTACAATGAGAAGCATGCACCCAGGAGAGTTTTCCCTCTAATTTCACTGAGGTGGGGGTGGTCAGCAACACCTGGTAGGGACCCTCAAACCTGGGTTCTAGTCCTTTTCGTTGAAACTTCTTGATCACCACCCAATCTCCAGGCTGTAAGGAGTGAGATTCACCGTCAGAATTTGGATCTGGAATAGAAGAGAAAACTTGGGCATGCAACTTAGCGAGCTGTTTGTGTAATTCCTGCACATACATCTTCAATGAACAATGCATTAATGTCATCTCTTGTGGAAAAAACAAACCTGTCATTGGGGCTCTCCCGAACAATATCTCAAATGGAGATAGTTTTTCCGGACCTCTGGGTGTATGTCTAATGGATTTCAACACCAGGGGGAGAGCTTGCACCCAAGTGAGGCGTGTCTTTTCACAAATTTTGGCTAGTCTATTTTTAATCATTCCATTATACCTTTCAACTTTCCCTGATGCCTGCGGGTGATAGGGAGTATGGAACTTCTGTTCAATTTGGAGTCCTTCCATAACCTCAGCCATCACTTGGCCTGTGAAATGGCTCCCTTGATCAGACTCTACTGTCTCCATCAGGCCATACCTGCACACAATTTCCTGCAACAGCTTCTTTGCAGTGACTGAAGCAGTAGCATTGGCTACAGGCCAGGCCTCTACCCATCCTGAAAACATGTCTACACATACTAGGACATATTGGAATTGCTGACATTTTGGCAATTGAATGTAGTCAAGCTGCAGTCTCTGGAAGGGATACTGTGCCTTGGGCAAATGCTTAGTTGGGGTTTTTACCAGCCTCCCAGGATTATGTATTTGACATGTTTCGCATCCTTGACAGAATCTCTCAGCAACAGTGGTGAATCCTGGGGCTACCCAGTGAGATGTGATTGTAGAGACCATTACGCCTTTGGACAGATGAGAGGGGCCATGAGACGCCTCAGCCAAATATGGATACAATGCTGGAGGGGCACAGTATCTTCCATCCCCATGGGCCCAAAGTCCATCTGTTTCTTTACATCCCTGATCTCTCCACTTCTGCTTAGTACTTTCATTGGATTGCACTTGCAATTTCTTCAAAACAGTCAAATCTACCCAACCAGGGCTGTCAGAGGAAGGTGTGGCTGTGAAGATTTCTACAGACTCGGTACCAGTTAAAGCAGCTGCCTTAGCAGCGGAATCTGCTCGAGCATTCCCAAGTGAAATATCATCTGTGCCTCTGGTGTGTGCTGCACATTTTAGGACTGCTATTTCATCTGGGAACCAAAGAGCCTCAAGGACTTTCTTAATGAGCTCACCATGTTTGATGGGCTTTCCACAGGTAGTCAAGAAACCTCTCAGTTTCCATAGTTGGCCAAAATCGTGACATATGCCAAATGCATATCTTGAGTCGTGTACACATTGAGCTTTTTCCCTTTGCCTATTATGCAAGCTTGCATCAGAGCCATAAGCTCTGCCACGTGCCCTTCCTCAGTGTAGAAGCGGGTGTCAGGGCTCCTGGGTATGACCAGAGGTATGTGACTGACGCAGGGAAACGCAGACTTCAGATATGTTATAAACAATGTAATTTATTAACACTAACAATACAAACATAAACGCAGTGCAATACTAAAACATAACACAGTGCAAACAAACCAAACCAACCACCCACAGATGACAGTACATACAATGCAAGCGTCGTCAGGCCGGGTCAATATCAATCGGGCAGGTAGGTACAGGGGGAGCAAGCGGAGAATGGTCGGGGTCACAAGCCAGGTTCAGCAGGTAGCGGGCAGCGTGGTACAGAGGGTCAGGCAGAGGAGAATGGTCAGACAAGCCAGGGATCAGGAGCAGGAGAATGGTTAGACAAGCCAGGGATTAGAGCAGGGTCAGCAGAGAATCAGACAGGAACAGGAACAGGGAACAGGAACAGGGCCCAGGAGAAACATTCACCAAGGCAGAGTCTGCAGGTCTGGCCATCCCTTAAATACCCCAGTGTAAGCAGTTTCAGGTGTTTAGCTGGCTGCAAGGTTGAGTCTCTGATTGCTGGGAGCACCTGCTGGCCAGCCCCGGTACTGCAGCCCATAAGGCAGGCGAGTCCCACTATTGCTGGCCAGTCCATTCCTGACAGTACCCCCCCCCCTCAAGGAGCGGCCTCAGGACGCTCCAAACAGTCCTAGCTGGGCAAAATGTTCCACCGCCCGGGTCTGGTAACTGGCGGGATATCAAAGACTGGCACACCGGGCAGGACTCCGGGCAGCGGCACACCGGGCAGGGGCACACCGGGCAGGGGCACACCGGGCAGAGGCACACCGGGCAGAGGCACATCGGGCTGGACTCCAGGCAGAGGCACATCGGGCTGAACTCCGGGCAGAGGCACATCAGGCTGGACTGGGCAGAGGCACATCGGGCTGGACTCCGGGCAGAGGCACATCGGGCTGGACTCCGGGCAGAGGCACATCGGGCTGGACTCCGGGCAGAGGCACATCGGGCTGGACTCCGGGCAGAGGCACATCGGGCTGGACTCTGGGCAGAGGCACATCGGGCTGGACTCCGGGCAGAGGCACATGGGGCTGGACTCCGGGCAGAGGCACATCGGATTACCAGGCGAATCAGCAGGCAGCGGGCTACCAGGCGGAGCAGCAGGCACCGGGCCACCAGGCGGAGCAGCAGGCAACGGGCCTCCAGGCGGAGCAGCAGGCACCGGGCCACCGGGTGGAGCAGCAGGCACTGGGCCCCCAGGCAGGGCGACAGGCATCGGGCCCCCAGACGGGGCGACAGGCATCGGGCCCCCAGACGGGGCAACAGGCACCGGGCCCCCAGGCGGAGTAGCATGCGTCGGGCCCCCAGGCGGGGCGACAGGCGTCGGGCCCCCAGGCAGGGTGACAGGCGTCGGGCTCCCAGGCGGGGCGACAGGCGTCGGGCCCCCAGGCGGGGCGACAGGCGTCGGGCCCCCAGGCGGGGCGACAGGCGTCGGGCCCCCCGGCGGGGCGACAGGCGTCGGGCCCCCCGGCGGGGCAACAGGCATCGGGCCCCCAGGCGGGGCAACATGCATCGGGCCCCCCGGCGGAGCGGCGGGCGCCGGACCCCCAGGCGGAGCGACAGGTCTCGGGCCCTTAGGCGGAGCGGCGGGCGCCAGACCCCCAGGTGGAGCGACAGGTCTCGGGCCCTCAGGCGGAGCGGCGGGCGCCGGACCCCCAGGTGGAGCGACAGGTCTCGGGCCCTCAGGCGGAGCAGCAGGCACCGGGCCACCAGGCGGAGCAGCAGGCACCAGGCCACCGGGCGGAGCAGCAGGCACACGGGCCCCCAGGCAGGGCGACAGGCATCGGGCCCCCAGGCGGGGCGACAAGCACCGGGCCCCCAGGCGGAGTAGCAGGCACCGGGCCCCCAGGCGGGGCGACAGACGTCGGGCCCCCAGGCGGGGCGACAGGCGTCGGGCTCCCAGGCGGGGCGACAGGCGTTGGGCCCCCTGGCGGGGCGACAGGCGGGGCGACA